TAATGTAACTGGATTTCTTAGCTTTTTGAAGATTTCTTAGCTGATTTTTTGCCTTTAACAAATGTTGTCGGGTAGTAGCGTATTAGGTATACATATTGAAATGGTCTATATGGAAATGTTTTTTAAATGTGTATTCAAAAAATGTTAATTTACTTTCCTTTTACAACAAATTTCAAATAAATTATTAATTTCGAAATTTATTTTCACTATAGTCCCTCAACATTTCAAAAGTATCAAAAAGTGCTTAAATCATAATTTTACCATCTGTTGATCCTTCTCATCCATGAATAATCTTGACTTGTCAAGTTCTCGTTTAAAAATATATTTCTCATCATTGCAATTTAGTCCTTAAACTTTGCAAATTTTACGTTTAGGGCCCATTCTTGCGTTTAAGCTCATAAAATCAACTATTCCAATTAGGAGACATCAATGCAACGTTCTAAAGACTTAAAATCATTATTCTTTAACTTTCCCATAATTTTCTTTTTAATTGTTAAGCTTTCTAGAATTCTACAAATTAGCCAAGACTCGACTGTTTGCAAGTAATAAATTCTGAATATTATTATTCACACCTGATAATATTCTCAACTAACGTGACAGTTTTGCTAATTTGCACTTAAATCCCAAAACTTTCTAAAAATATGCTAATGGATCCAACAACTTCTTAAATTATCATGTATGCTACGGATCATACTTCGAAATTTTTTGGGTTCCTTTTTTTTTTTTTTTAAACTAGAGTGGCAAGAGTGAAAACTAAGTCCATCCCCCATTATTTCTAAAATATATTTTTATTTCTCTTTTTTTTGCAACCATACATTTTTCAATAGAATAATATTACACGTAAATTCAAAACTGTTTCTTATTTTTCAACAATACATTTTCTATCAATCTACTATTTTTTTTTTTTGCAATCACACATTTTTCAATAAAATAATATTACACGCAAACTCAAAACTGTTTCTTATTTTTTAATAACACATTTTCTATCAATCTACTATATCAAAATGCATTTTAAGGAGAAAAATGGGCTCAAACAACGTTTAAGTGCATGTTTGACACCAATTAATTTTTTTTTTATGGTTTGTTACGAGATCATTTTCAACCGTACATTCAAGCAATAAAATATTCTACATCTATACCAAAAATTTTCCCTACATTTTAGTCATACTTCTAAAAATACGACTCATAACTCATTTTTATCCCCAATTAATTAGAATCAAATTGGCTCTAAGATCTATAGGTTAGAATTTTTGTTAGCTACCACTCAACTACAATAGATTTAGGGGAATTACAAAAATGGCGAATTTCTTACTTGTCAATTGAAAAGTGTCTAATTTTGATAAATCTTGCAAAAATGGCCAAATTTGGTACGAAATTGTCTATTATACCTTCAATGAAAAATGAAACAATTTTTTTTTTTAATTTGTCACGAATTTCGAAAAGATAGATAGCTTCCATGAGAAGTTACATTAATACTAGTTAATACATAATGAATTCATTTTCTTTTATTATCTATTAGGTATTGACCAAGAATTTTGGGAAAAAATGAAGAAGATGAAGTAGAAAAGTCATTAATACTAAAAAATAATTATATGCTTCCAATTCATAAGAAAATCATATAATTTTACTTTGGAAAAATTAATCTCATCCAATTTTGCAGTTGATTAGGTTTACCACAATTCTTGGTAGAATGTTGTTTTTCTTTGAAATTTTGTTTTTGTTGATAAGTTGTGTTTAATAGTTGTTATTTTTGACATTTCATGACGTTCTAGACATTTGGAAAGCTGGTATCAACATTTGGACCCTATTTATCTTGACACTTGATATTTTATTCGTTTAGAACGAGATTTCTTTTGAACATGAGAGTTCTCTGCATTTCATAATGTTTTTGGCATTTTAAGTGTACTTCTCGACATTTCATAAATATTTTATTTACCCAGTTATAAGGAGAAATGAACATTTAATGCATGATTGATATTGTACTTTTAAAATAAGTAGTATAGGTTATGTGTCAAATTATTATTGGTCAATACAACTTTTAATTATATAAATAATTATGTCTTCATAGAGGAATTTAAAATTGTTAATGAGGGCATTTTGGTTTATGTTATAGTAAAATGGACATTAAAGAAATTTTGATTATTTTTGCAAATGACTGCGTAAAAAGTTGACGTTTTTTGCAATTAATGATTTTTAATATTGTAATACTAAAAGTACAATGTTTAGACTATTATTCCCAACAAGTGAGCATATCACTCACTCCCTCTTTACTTTTTTTTTGTTTTCCTTGTTTATGTAGTGTTGCCCATTAGTCATTGTCACTTTTATATGACTAATCAAACTTAAATAAAGTTCTTTCTTTCTTTTTTTCTCAAATCTCCAAACTCACTTCAAATCTTTTAATTTTATTTTTAGGGTAATTGACACAATACCCCCCTTAACGTTTGCATGTTTTTTGAATATCACGTAACTTTTTATTTTGGATCAAAATCTCTTTAGATTGTCTAAACTCTGCGAAATAATCTCTACAGTCTAAAACAATGAAGAAAGCCAAAATCAATAAAACCTAAAAAGGGCAAATCCATGTGTCTACAATATCCTCTCTCTCTCCTCAAGGCACTGTTTTTTTGAAAAAATAAAGAGAAAAAAACCAACTGTAGTAAATTGAGAACAACCACTGATCTAAACTTCAAACTGATATGCTTCATCATCATCATCCAGTCAAAGATTCTTCCTCTCAAATTTTTGTTTGTGATAGATTTAGGAAAATTTCTTGACTTATTGGCTGAAAAATAAGTTGACAGTATTGTTGCAGAGACTAGTGAATCTGTTACACTCAGTGAGAATTCAATGAAGCTATGAAGATAAGAATATTAAATCAGCCGTGTGTTATTGATGATCAAAAAGGGTTTAAATAATACAAAGATGTATACAAGGAATAATCTAGAATAAATGGCTGTTAATTAGTTCATGAATAAGTGGATCTTGTCTGGAATAGTTTCGTACGCAATAAACGACGTAAAAAATAGACCGGGAACACTTCGAAATGGTATTAAGTATGCAAAATTTCACCCTTATTTGATGGAGAGTTAATATTTTGTTTAAAGACGAGGGAAAAAGAGAAAAATTTAAATTTATTGTGATTTTACCCAAATTTGATGGAGGTTAAAATCAAATTTTAAATAAATTTTGATAAAAGTTAAATAGTTATGGATTTTATGAAATATGTTATTAAAATTAATTGTTAACATTGATTTAAATTAAAATTTATATTTCAATCGATACTAAACATGATTATATATATATATACTCAAAAGTTGGGTGGCTAGGACCCCCCGGTCAATCCCTGTTTACATGGTACTTTTTAAAATAAGTAATATAGATTATGTGTCAAGTTATTATTGGTTAATATAATTTTTAATTATATAAATAATTTTGTTCTCATTGTGGAATTTAAAATTGTTATGAGGGCATTTTGGTCTATATAATAGTAAAATAGACATTGAATTTTTTTTCAATTTCCTCATAGATTTATCATTTATGTCAAAAGTGTACGTGTACAATTATATGTAAATCATTACAATTTGGATCCCCAAACATTAAGGGCCCACCGGCGGAATGGTCTTGGCAAAAAGGCTCTCACTCCGACAAATGCCTTTTATTTGATTGAACCACTCAAATATCATTTGATAGTAGTTAATAGATTATTCGATTGTCAAATAAAATGTCAAATATAACGAAGTTACATATTGCTAATGAAAACACTCGTTTGATGCACATTAAAATGAGAGAATGCATTTTTTTGAAATGATGTGATGAGAAATATGTGGTTGAAAAAGAAGAAAAAATTATTGATGTGATGTAAAATATTATTTTATTGAAAAATGTGTGATTCAAAATGAGTAGAAGAATGAGAATGAAAAAAATAAGGTGGATCAAACAGGGACTTAATGCTAACTCATGTCTCAACTAGCCAAAAAGGGATAGAGCCAAATTGAGTCTCGACCAAGTTTAAGTTGTTTATCGACGGGTTATCAGAATAAGGTCACTTAATATCCTTCGTTTATCTATGAACTTCATACTTAACATAACGGTGTCATAATTGAAAAGTTGTATTAAGTATGTCGCTTAGCGCTCTTACGCATTTATACATTACAGAGCCAAGAGACAATATAAATCCGTCTTTTTTATGATGTTTTAATTATGGGTAAGCTTAAAACTTACTTCTAAGTATATATTACCAGTGAAAATACTTGAGCGATAGTTTGATGTAGATTTTTCAGAATAAATTTTGAGAAAAGTAATTTTTTTAAAGATCAATCTTCAAAAAAATAAAAATAAAAAATACAAAAAACACGATTTTACGTGCAAAATTATTTTATTAAAAGAATGTATGTTTGGAAATGATTTTGAAAAAAACGAATTTTAAATAATTTGTACCAAAGAGAGGCTTGAAAAAACTATTAACAAAAATAAGTAACTTATTGATTTTCAACTTTTGTGAAAACAAATAATTATTTGTTTAAAATCATATGTATTTAGTATTTACATATAACTAAATTAACTTNGTTTAAAATCATATGTATTTAGTATTTACATATAACTAAATTAACTTCCTTGTAATAATTCAAGAAAATTGTCGACAAAACATCTTTAAAATTCAAAATATTTTTTACCGTTTTTTCAGTTGCTTAGGCCCCAATTAATATCTTACTTGTTTCCATATTTGCGCTCACTGCATTAAATATCCAGAGCGCAGATATGGTAATTGATTCACTTCATTAACTTTCAAACAGAAAAGATATGGTAAATTTCCTTTTCTTACCCTTCCAAGGATTTTACAACGGATACCTTTCCTTAGTACTCTATATATACACATACTGCACGCCCATGATACTCTTACGTTGTAATCTCTGAATCGGAAACTCTCTTCCTTCTTTCTACTGTAACCCTTCATTAATCTTTTTGTTGCCTCAAAATCACCCAGAAACATAGAAAAAATGGTTCTGTCGAGAAAACGTCCTCAACTTAATCTGCATATTCAATTGCCGGAACCAGTCGAAATTCCTCAATGCAGCATCGCTATTAATCCATTGATTCTGCCTACGCAAGAAGTTGAATGTGTGTCTGATCTTGAGAAACTACAGATTCTTGGCTCTGGCAATGGTGGGACAGTCTATCGAGTTCGTCACAAGCAGTCTTCGAAGGTTTACGCCTTGAAGGTTATCCGTGGTGGTGCCACTGATCAAGTACGTGAAGAAATTGAAATCCTCCGCCGTATGGATTCTCCTAATACTGTGCGATGTCATGCAATCTTCGAGGAGGCCTTTGGTGATGTATCGATCGTCATGGAGTACGTTGAAGCCGGATCCCTGGATGTTCTTGCCAAGAAAGTTGGTTCGTTTTCTGAAACCCTTGTTGCGAATATAGCTTATCAATCACTGAAGGGACTTGACTACCTCCATAGTAAAAGGATCGTTCATCGTGACATAAAGCCATCAAATCTTCTTGTCACACGTGACATGAAAGTCAAGATTGCTGATTTTGGAGTCAGCAAGATCATC